ATTTATTTTCCCAAAATGTCCAATAATCCACACCCCACACCTGACACCAATGTTGCTTTTTTCTGGGTTCTTTTGGGTGTGGGTTAGAACACTGGATTCCACAAACAAATGCACTAATTTATTCATCTTTGATAGAACATTTATGTACACCACTATTTGTGTCTGACTAATTCTTATGTCGCGCCATTGACTGTACAATACTCCTCTCCGCTCTACTCTAGGGTACTCTGCTTCCCTCTCCCGGCCGTCGGGTTATATAGTCCGCATCGTGGCTCGAGAAGAGTCTGGCTGGCCACAAAGTGGAAGTCTAGACTCTTCGAGGTCACTGTTGCCAACTCTTAGTTAATAAATTAGAATGTATCCCTGAAACCCGCTAAATAGGAAGTATTTCCTCTAAATAATGGAGTCACATGTATATTTGAGCTCTGGCTTTCGGTAAAGACCACAAATCCTTCACACGAATAAAATCACTGGTTATTCGGCGATTCGTCAATTTATCTAAAACCGTCTTTTTTGCGTTGAGGAGACCTAGGTTCTACGTTAAAAAATCTGCTATCGGAAATTGCGATTTTTCCATCAAGTATCTACAATTGGCGTCCGCACATCGAACTTCTTTCTCAGCAGGTTGGAATTCTGTTGGTGCCACATTTAGAATCAGTTGTTCTTATATATTATGCCGTATGTGGGTGTCTTCTGTTCTAAAATTTACCAAGACATTAATAGTCACAATAAATAATAGCTTAAAAAACTAAAAAACACGCTTTTATAGCTAACCGAACTAAAAAGTAGAACATAGTTTTTAATTACAAAGAGTTTATATTACAGTAGTAGGTGGTCGAACCATCAATCATAATTAATGACCTCAAAATAAAATTAGAATAATCCAATTCAGAGTAAAATGCGTGGGGTGACTGATATAGTAAATGTTATAATCATTCTTCTGGCAATTATCTATGAGCGGAGAGTTATGAAAATATAGTAAAATGCAACCCACGTATTTTGAGGTTAATTATGATTGATTGTTCGACCATCTACTACTGTAATATAAACTGCTTGTAATCAAAAAATATCTCCTACTTTTTATTTCGGTTAGCTATAAAATCGAGTTTTTTAGTTTTTTTAGACTATTATTTATTTTCATTTTTTAGTTCGATATATCAATTAGTTTTTTGTGGATTGAAATGTCTTACGAATCATTTCGTAACCAAATCATTTCATGTTAAAGCTTCACTGTTGCATGTGGTTTTTCCTGTTAACTTAGAACTTAGAGCAATCAAGTTCTTTAATCCGAATACCATCTAAAGTGCTACATAAGTTTGTCCAGCAGCAAACAGTCGCGAGCGCAGTGTTGCCAGACGATTATTTCTTTCTCCCTAGATATTTTGCCAAAATTTCCCTAGATTTCCCTAAAAACTTAAAAAACCATGCTTATTTTAGAATTCCTTTTATATATTTAATATTCATCTTAATATTGTTTGTAATTTGGGGTAGGAGTATTGATAAACAAATGCAAACAATTTTTTCACGTATAATTAGTTTAATCAACGTAACAGGTATTTCTTAAAATATATAATATAAACTAAAATACATGATAACTTAAGTATGCATATTATAAAAAATATAAAAAAAATTATTCTGTATAAATAGTTAACGAACAAACATGGCATAACATAAAATATTTTGTTTTTAAGAAAACAATAAAGCAGACTAATCAAAAGTAGGTATTATAATTTAATTTTGAGTTTTATTGTACATTGACGAACCGATTCTTCTAAACAAATCATTATGGATGTTAAAGTTGTAGCAACTGTCATTTTTCAATAAAACTTTGGTATGTAACATTCCACTCAAACTTTCAGTCGATAATTTATTTCTTATTTTAGTTTTGTTTAGATTTATTTGGGAAAATATCCTTTCGACATTTGCACTTGAATATGGCAAACTAATCAGATTAAACACAAAATTAGTTAAGGTTGGAAATATAAGAGAATCATCACCAGATTTTAATGTTGAAATTTTTTCCCAAAATTCTTGAACTCTTAAATTTGTATATTCACTTAAATCAAGATTTCTTAGGCAACGCCATTCTTTGTCTATTTCATTTACGTTATCAGTTGTCAAGTTGGGAAAATGGAAAACCAAAGGCCCTAATGATGCTTGTTTTTTCGCAATTACTTCATCTGGTGATATAAGAGACATATGTTTTAGGGTAGCGACAGTTTTGCTTTTATTATCAAATTTTTTACAAATTTCAAAACGACTTTCTATTAAAAAATCTAAACACCTCTTTCTGAACTCAAATAATTCTGCATCATTTAGTTTATGTTCATTATTCCTTGTTACGTAACACCTATATAAATGTTTTCTATTTCCACAAAATTATGAGGATTTTTATATTCTACTTTTTCGATCAAAGTTTTATCTAAATAATCCGTTTTCATGTAACAATCCAGAATTGTTCTTAACACATGTTCAACTCGTTTATATAAAATGTGTATTTTAATATTTTCGGATTGCATTTCTAAATTTAATTCCATAAAAAACGGCAGCACAAAGTTTAAAAAATTTAAATACGATATGGTAGATAGATTTTGAAGAAAATTTAAGATATTTTGTGCTTGAATGCCATTTTTATTGTAGCACTACTGATCTGTAAAATATAATTTTAAAACATCATATTGCTCAAGTATTTTTTTTACAACAGGCAATACAGACAATCACCTTGTTTGAGAGGGTTGTAAAATTTTATGAGGCTTTACTGCTACAAACTCCTGAAATTCTGCAAATTTAGTTTGTCTTTTAAAACTGTATTGTAGATACGTATGAACATCTCTAGCTCAATATCACCTGGTAATTTAGCACAAGCATAATTAGCAAATAAACTAAATGAATGACAGACACATTTCATAATGAATAAATTAGGAATATCGGCTTTTAGTTTGGTGGATAATGAATTATGAATTCCCATCATAGCACTTGCACCATCTGATGCAAAGCCTATTAGATTTTCTTTGTGATTAATATTACATTTAAAAAAATAATTTACAATAGTGTTGTAAAGTCCTTCTTCCGTTACATCTGACACAGGCAATAGACCAAAGAACAAGTCAGTAATTTTATGTTCATAAAAAATGCGTGCCACTAAAGCTAAATGTTTAATTGCGCCTTTATCGGTAGATTCATCAGCAATTAATGAAAATATATTTGTTTGTAATAAATTAATAGAATTTTCAAAACTGTACTGCCTTAAAATATTATCGACAATAGCTGTAGCTTTGGTGCGAGAACATGTGAAATTTTTAGCAATCCCTGAATCATCAAATGATATTCTAATAATTTATGATAAATGGTCTAAAGTATTAAATGAAACGTTATGTTCAGCTGCGTATGCTGTAATTCGAATTTCAGCGGTTTTGATTTTGTTATTTAAAGATATTTTTTCCATATAAGATATCAGTCAAAGTTTTTGTGTGTTTAATGATTTTACCAATTTGGTGTGTTGTTTTCCTGAAGAATGTTTCTGGATTTCGGATTTGCCACATATAAAATCTTTATTGCATGCCTTGCAGAATAAATAATTGGACCCTTTCTTGCTGCTCCTCAGCCAACCTTTAAATTCAGGTTCTTGATCGCATGCAGCGGTATATTTCTGAGTATAGGACTTTTTATTTTTTCTTATGGGACCAGCTTCTTCAGAAGAAGACGGTGAGGATTCCAATTCATCAGCATATTTAGAAGTTGATGGTTGAGGTGTAATTGAGGACATGATGCTACATCTGTAATTATAAAGAAACAATGGCAAACAAATTTTGGTTTAAAATACACAGATCATATTATACAGGGTGACTTTGAAGTTGAGTCATTAATTTTCAGATAATGATTGTAGAAGAAAGATAAACCAAAATATGTGTGTAAAAATAAAAAAAAATTAAAAAAAATTTTTACCTTGTTTTATAAAGTATCCTCCCGACAAGTATTTCAGTGCGGACCTGTATTTGATCGTGAGGTCCCCTGTGAGGTCTTAAGTCACCTGATTCACGAGCCCGTTGTACTACATTAACAAAGGCACGAGGGGTTGGTTGCACTCGATTGCGAAACCGATCCGCATAAACATGTGCCATTTTTTATTTCGTTTGAGCCACGCAACAGATACCACTATTCACTGACACTGACTGTATACAAATGAATGAAATAATTGTAAAAAGCATAGTTCCAAATTCTTTCGCTTTTTTGTTTCCGATGCGATGAACCGATACGGCGGATTATATCCGTTGTCGCCAAACACGAACACATAATATTATTATTGAGACAGGGTGGTACTCAAACTTCCAAAGGGCTATAATTATGTTACTTTAATTTTACCAGGAAAATGGTAAAGGGAAAAAACATTTCTTTTGATCAGATCTACTCACTGTTAAAATAAATGACTCAACTTCGAAGTCACCCTGTATATGTATGTCTAAGATATAAATACTTCATTATTTTATAGAAATATTTTTTCATTAACTTTAATACTAGATAATTAATTTCTGAGTAAACTCTGAAGAACCTTCCCGGTCAAGTATAATAATTGGAAAAGTAAATATTTTATAATAAATAAATAGGTACCTATGGCAAATAAGTTCAATGTCGAAAAACTTTAATGATTATTCGTTAATAATTTTAGAGCACAAACTAAAAACAATAGTTATTCTAAGGCACAGTTAGCACAAGGCACAATCCGTACAATTACATATAAACAGAAGGAAATGCAAACAGAAACCACCCGGCGGTTTATATATTATATTATAGCCTAGGTATTTCCCCGTATGTAAAATATCGATCTGGTATTCACCGACGGGAAATCACCGATTGGGAATCACCGATGAGGAATCACCGACGGGGAACCAAAGCGTTTCGTTTAATAATTCCCAGAATGTTATGAGTTATGATTTCCGACCGGTTTGTTGATACAATTTGCTTTTCATACATTATAATATATTTTGAATCATATTTTGTAGGTACAATCGGAAGGTATTTTAAAAGTAATATATTTCTTTCTTAGTTTATTCTCTATCTCTCGTTTATTTTTTGTCCTTGCTGCTTAAAATTGTCTTACAGAGTCTAGAGTTCCTAGATTTTCTACAAATTTAAATAAATTTCCCTTTTTCCCTAAGCTTGCTAACACTGCGCGAGCGTAGACAAGTGACTGCATGAACGACTGTACAACTTTGCATCTTGTGAACGGCCGAAGCCGAATTCAGGATTAATGGCCGAACCAACAGAGTAAGTCCGAAACTGCACGCATACGCAGATCGCGCGCTAGCTCTATCTGTCTTACTCCTCTACAGAGGATCTATAACAGAATTTATCAATCCTTGCGGTCCTAATAAGCATAAAGGAAAACTGTTATCAAATTATTGCATTGTCGCCGGTCTTTGCTACGTGTGCGAAGTTTCAGATTAATCAAACTTCTGGAAATTGGTGAAAATTTTTCGTCGTAACTTGACCCATTGATGTGCATACGTGTACCTATTACATTGATATTGCCATGGTCGCAATATACCAGTAGGTATATTGAAAAGATCTATTTATATATACAGGGTGACTTTGAAGTTGAGTCATTAATTTTCAGATAATGATTGTAGAAGGAAGATAAACCAAAATATGTGTGTAAAAGTAAAAAAAAAAATTACCTTGTTTTATAAAGTATCCTCCCGACAAGTATTTCAGTGGGGACCTGTATTTGATCGTGAGGTCTTGGAGCACCGGCATGCCGTCCCGTGTGAGGTCTCAAGTCGCCTGATTCACGAGCCCGTTGTACTACATTAACAAAGGCACGAGGGGTTGGTTGCACTCGATTGGGAAACCGATCCGCATAAACATGTGTCATTTTTTATTTCGTTTGAGCCACGCAACAGACACCACTATTCACTCACGCGTTACCGACTGACACTGACTGTATACAACTGAATAAAATAATTGTAAAAACATCGTTCCAAATTCTTTCGCTTTTTTGTTTCCGATGCGATGAACCGATAAGGAGGATTATATCCGTTGTTGCCAAACACGAGCACATAATATTATTATTGAGACAGGGCGGTACTCAAACTTCCAAAGGGCTATAACTTTGTTACTTTAATTTTACCAGAAAAATGGTAAAGGAAAAAAACATTTCTTTTGATCAGATCTACTCACTGTTAAAATAAATGACTCAACTTTGAAGTCACCCTGCATATATTCTATAAATATGAATCAAATCTCATGAAATATTTAAAAAATATCAGTGACGTTTCAGAAACTATATAACCTTATCCCTCTTCTCAGTAATGTCTCTCAAAAATGAATTGCGAAATATTACAAAATCAACATTTCTGAAAGGATTACGAAATAGCAATTTTGAAATGTAATATTGGGAAAGTTATTATTTTAATATACCAAAAATATCTCTGAAAACTAATGTGCTATGTAGGATCTCGTGTCGTTGCTTTTTCTTAGCAAACTAACACTTAATACCCTCCCCCTATAGAATTGTTTCTCTTTTAGCTTAAGAAAATTTTCTCTGGTCGTCTCTGTTTGAGAAAATTTGGTTTCAATATCTCAGGTGCAACCCTGAAAAGACCTCATGAAAAATTTAGGTGTATCTGATTTATTTTAAAGATACGCTGACATTAATAAGGTCTGCAAATTGCATAGTATATATAAAGAAAGTAGTGCCACCTTAACATATAATGTTAATCTCCATATTTTTCTGGACAATCGAAATCACGTAGGGGAAAGAATCTTCTTCATTGTAAACGTTTCGGTCACAACGGTGTCCTTCCTCAGTACATACTAGAATTCTAAAAGTTGCATGTTTTTAATAAAAGTGATACTGGATGTGCTAGAAAAATGAAACAAAGCAGATTCGACGCACACAGGTATTCACAAATACCATAACTGTTGGAAGGGAAAAAATGTAAATTTCACAGGCCTGTGTTACGGTTCAACAAAGGCAATACAAGTAATGAGAGGTCTATCGGAGTAAGGCAGTACCAAGTGCCATCTATTACCAGAATGGACTACTTCGAGTGCTTGAAATAGCTGCCGTGATTGGATATCTGTGACCGGACGAAGGAAGGCTATATTGCTAGCCTAATGAGGTCTATTGATACGACAGCGATAGGCTTAGACAAGACAATCATTATACTCCGCCGGAAATGCAAGCCCGCTAGAATAACTACGACTTATAGCTGATTCACATCATTAGGACTGTACTATAATGCCAGGAGACTGAATTTTCCACCTGGAGCTTTCCCTATAAGCGCGCATTTCCACGAGTTTTCTGTCAGTAGCACACTGAACGTGGCTGGGAGCGAGGCAATGCAGCTCCTTACGTGACGTAGCGTTAACTCGGTATAACTGCCAAAGTAAATAAAAAGTATTATTTTGTGGAGTGCTGGAAAAACAATTCCAGTTTACGGGTTTGTATGTATCAATATTATTTCTGAAACGCCGTTCTCTCCTGTCCTTGTTTGAATTTTCCCATGGATGTTGTGTGTACATCATAGACTATTTTGAAGGACCAAGAGCTAAGATCCACGATTTTGGAGTGTAAGAAAATGTTGAGAAAAGTGCCCTTATAATAGCACCTCATAGGGCTCTGACTTCTCTAAATAAGAATACTAGTATCTACCTCTTAAATTATTTCCGAAAAACTTTCTGCCGATTGGAAGTCATCCTAACCTACCTATTATTTTGCAAATGGAAAAAATATGGTGGATAGTTTAAAGCATAGGAGATCAATTTTCAGGTGCTAGGTCGCGCGGGCGCTAAATAGTAAATAACAAAACGATACAAGTAAGCAGGTATAAGTGTATAATTGCCTGAAAATAAGTCTTGAAATACGTTCAAAATTCAATTGTTATGATTGATTTTCAACAACACCTCCTGAAATGACTAACATATGAAGCTTAAGTAAGCTTCATTTGCGTCGTTCAAACTTTCACGGTATACTAATTGTTTGAAATCAGTATTTCGATTAACAATCATTTTCGATTGCAATACCATGGATTCAAAAAGATGCGCTCATACGTATATATACGTATATTGGAAGTCGGAAAAACAACAACTGGAATATGATCTGATCCACATAAGAAAGTAATATTCATTGCCCTATTAGAAACTCCTGGGTGGTATTGTAAATGTTCTGTAGGACGAGGGCAAAATCATTGGATGAAAGAATAGTTTGACAAGAATTGCATTATTAATTTTTGGTCTATCCTATGCATAGCGTCGGCAACTCAATTTTGTTGAATATTTTCAAGTATTATTTTTTGAAGTTGTATCAATAAGTCTTCATGCAATTTTGTCTGTATACCAGTGACGAAAATACGCAAATGATATTTTTAGAACGTCTCGCAAGTGACATACAGCCCATCTGCAAATGTAGATAACCTACCGCACAAGCAGAAAAACAACCACGCATCAAAATGTATGGAATGCTGCTTGAGAGTGTGCAACATTTTGTGCAGGTAGGTACAATGCACTCATAAAGTTTTCGGCAATTCAGCCAGACCCTGTTATGTTTTGAAATGAACACAAGAATCGACTCATGTTACCAATTCGTAACCCTTAATATAGTTATTTTGTTATAAATCTCTATGCTTTCATCGAAATCATAGAAATTTTTGAAATACCTGAGCTACCAAGCAGGTGGCTCGATGGTCTCAGACCGCCTAAAACCTGCGGGCAATCGCAACATCCGTAACAAAGAGCAACATTCTTTTGAAACGGAATTCGAATGCCCTCGATCTGTCAGAGCAGCGTGTAGAACCTTTGCGCATGGTTAAAAGTAAGATTTTAAAACAGAACACTACAATCACATGTGACACTCAACTCCTCATTTTGCAAAAAAAAAACAGCTCATCATGTCTTTCCTGAGCTCTTGATCTATGAATACGTACAAAATATTTTCGAAAAAAGATTCAAGAGGTCATTTGTTCTAATATTCTAAGCTCCATATGTGATTTTCGAAACGAATCCGCATTTCAGATTTTTTACTCATGTTTGGGAAACATCCTATAGATTTTTGAATAACGATTTCAATTTCTCATGAATCACCTCGCTTGATAAATCATTGTCAGACTACCTCTTTGGTTTAGAACTTCAATTCGTGTTACTTAGAAAATAAGCTGAAGCTAGTTTGATATTGCAAATTTTATACTGTAACGTATTAGGAGGGCGGAACCTGTCTAGGGGGAGGGGTAGCATTCATGCTTGCTAGGATGGTTTATCTCGGTGAAAAGGGGGTGGGTGGGGTAGCGGCGATTGAAGCGCGGGGTGGGATTCGTCTAGGGGGGAGGCGCACGTCTCACGGTTCAGGTCTAGCAACGTAATTTTTACACTAAGATTCAAAAACATAATACAATTTTCTTAAAAACACATATCTTTCTCGTCTCCCTTTAAGTCCGCCCTTGCTAGCGCTATCGAAACAATAATCATGTTTTGCCATTATGCCTCTTCATTAGAGACGTAGAGATTGATAACTCTATGAATCTCAGTAATGGGACCTCTTAGGACACATGTTTTATAGGAACTCTGTATGTCTTTTTGTATAAACAGCACGTACTGCAGCTACATTATCAAGGGTAGATACAAGATACCATGCTTTCTTCGAAGTAATTTATCGCTTATAAATACTTATACATACACACCTTGTATACGAATTATCGCATACTAGTTCCTAATCGAGTATAATCTGATAAGTACGTTACGCTAATGACAATCATTAGATAGAAACTATATGGTATCAAATGCATATCGTATATCTATAATTCAATAATTTTATTGCTGGTACATACGTAAAATTATTGAAATGAGGCACGTTGAGGCTATAACTGAGAAAGGAATTGTGATTATATCTAAATGACTTAAACCAACCTATTCAGTAAGCAACCGGGAGTAAAAAATGGAGACAAGTAGTCCTTTCCACGCATTGATATAAATCTATTCAACATTCTAGCCATACCAGCAGTCTAGGCATTATTAGTGTTAAGTGAGTAAATATGCCATCTTGAATCTTGACTTCTCTCAAAAATCTTCAACTATGCCCGAAATAAAAACTCCAGGTTTTTCTGCACAAATGAAACTACATATACATGTATGAATGGATCTTTCCTAACGTTCCGGTCAACTTGGTGGCCTTTTTCGAAGTGCAAGCAATCATTACAATTTTAAAATGGTACCGGGTTAACCCAGCAAAGCTCAGGACCGCCTGGGGTAAGCACTACTAATGTTGCATCTCCATATGCAACAAATGGTACTTTGACACCTCAAGGGCACCATATTGTTTGTCTTGTGAGAAATAATGTAAGATACAATAAAAAAATCATAAGAAAAAACCTGAAGTAAAAAACTTATGATCGACTGGTCGATTTGGGGAATATCGGTATACCATTTATCGTATAAATGTGGGTAAACTGGTACAATATTATTTTGCTGGTAAGAACGATTTAAACATAATATAAAAATTAAATATTTGAAGTGTAGCATAAGAACAAAAAAGAGACAATGCGTGATAGAAATATCATTTACAGAAATTATCAGCTGAAGTAACCTCAAGCGTGTTTAAAAATCAAGATATTCATAGTCCGATTCCTACGGTATATTGCCAAACATTCGTAAATGTGCTGAAAAACTGGATAATAAATCAAGAATGAATATAAGTCAATGGTCGAAATCTAGAAAGACAATTACAGAAAATGTAAGCAAATACAATAATAACAGCTACGCTTCATACGCATATAAGTGGACAAAATTGGATAATACACAGGAAGAAATACTTTCGAACGGGACCGCAAACAAGAAGTGAGGAACTCAATGAAATTATAGCTCAACTGAATAATAAAACCGAAAAGCGTATCCACTTTTTAGTAAGGAAAGAACTGTAGAACACCCCAAACAGTTACAACCACCATAAGTACTACTTTGAACGCAAACGCTTTTAATTCATTTTTCACCAACATAGCACACCGTATACTAGAAAAGCTTCCGCAAAAAATCTCCGCTGCATTTTTGGAATAGCCCGACAAATATATATTTGTTTATCTTTCGGGAGGTTTCGTACAACGAAGTTAGGGAGGCAACCAATGCAACTCACAGCTCTAAAAGCACTGCTATTTAGAACACCATCTGCAATATCTTAAAAACAATAATGAATATCATTATACATATCCTCTTATAAAGCTTATAAATTTTCTGAAGTCATATAAACACCTAAACTGTTGATGCGCTGATGTCTGTTTATTGTCCAATATCGATTATACCATATTTTGTTAAAACTTTCTACATCAACTGAGGATCAACTGAGTAACCTTTCAAGAAAAGCGCGTCACCCATAATGAAGATAGATAGTCTTATAGAGTAATTAATGAAAGGTTTGAAAATAAATTATACGTACTGGCCAACTTCTTTGACCTATCAGAAGCTTTTTATTATGTGCAGATTGACATCCTTCTCCTGAAGTTACCTCATTATAGCATCGCCTCATCTAGTGTACAGCTCCTGCAATCTCACCTAAGTACAGCAATTTGAGGAATATAAGAATTACAGGTCAACTATCACCACAACCTCGCGTGGGGTTCCTCAAGGATCTGTGCCTGGATCATTATTTTTTATATACCAATGACGTACCAAGGTGTGTGAGTAAAAGTACCAGTAGTAAACTTTATCTCAACAAGACAATGAAGCAGCAATACACAGGGAGGACATTCAAAATTGTTTTGTAGATAAAGTGCAGACCTTGAATGAAAACAAAACACAGTCAATGACTATCTCTTAGGGTACTTTGACACAATCCAGCAAGTAGATACAGTGAAGTTTCTTGGTGTTGATATAGATACTTTTTTTAGAGTAAAGTAAGTTACCAAATCATTGATAAAAATTATTTACCTGATCCGCAGTCTGAAAAATTTAGTGTCTCATTGCAGCATGGGGCCATTCTCTTTACATGTGTAGAGATTTTGGTCTACAGAGAAGATCTATTGAATAGATATCAAATTTTAAGCTCAGAGATCTTTGCAAATTGTATACATTTCGCGTATACATTTTTACATATTTGCCTCATGTATGTTAGAACTCATTCTCTCACTCATACAAACATGACATCAACAACAAAACCAGAAAGACCATTCGTATCCAAATTATCACAGACTCTGCAGAACTGGAAGTGGTGTTAATTAGTGATAAAGTGATATCCTTCAACCCGTAGCCAAATAAAATAAGTTCACTAGATTATGAACAACAAATGTTAAATTGTTGTTTTAGATAGGCTGACTCTACCTTCCTCTTATTACATACATACGTATGTGGTTCAATTTAGCCAGAAAAACATGGAGTTTTATCAGCCTAAAAATTAGAGGATACGTCTTAGATGTTCAAAGTGATCAGACACCCAAAAAAAAAAAATAGGAAAGCAGAGTTTGGGAACAATCTGGAATTTTTAGTCAGCTAACTAAATATTTTTTTTCGAACACATAATTGTTTATGAAGTGTACATGCAGATACTGTATCAAATAAAGCTGCGAAAACATCATGAATTAGTTACATGATTGAGAGGAGTGTTGCTAACTGTGATTGTATCCACTTTCTGTGATGTAAATTCGTCAGGTGATTATATCATTTTAGGAATTTTAATAAGTTGACAATATCCGTATCTTATCTCCATATACATGGGTCCCGGTCTATGGAAACTTACTTAGCAGCCAAACCTTAGTAAAATCCTTTTTCAAATATCACGTGCGGGTTTTATAGTTTTGTGGAGCACAAGGAACGTATTTTGTTTATTCCTGCCAAAACCTTAGTAGTGTCCAAAAACCAATTTCTATTATCTTTGTGGAGGCTAAGGCACGATCGATTTAGCTTTTCTAAATTATTAAGCTTTCCCAAATGAGCCAAACATTTTGAATAATTCATCTGATGCTTCATAAAGTAGCATCGATAATAAGGCTGCATGAAAGTTGAGACGAGAGATGCAAGTGAGGTGAACCGACAGTTACAGACAGAAGGCCCGGAAGAATGATAATTTGTGTTCCACTCCTAATACTATTCAGATATAAATGGGTTATGATTCATCTCAACTTTTCCCCGGCCTAACAGCTTGTCCAGTCTCAATATACGTTAATGTGTATCATTATTATATCATTCGCTTTGTTCAGTTAGAGTACGGAGAAGAGGTATGGCGAAAAGTACTGGCGCTATCAGGATGCAAGTATGCAGTTTTCAACACGCACCAAGTGTATCCAGACAACATTATGGCCTCTTTAGCTTCGGCTTTGGCCACTACAACTTCCAACTCCTACGAAAGCTTCATGATGTTTTTCGGAAAGTGTTTCGTAAGATTCTTTAGTAACTACGGGTAAGTATTAGTACCTTGTAGTAGTAGTTTTCTTCCTTTATTGGTCAAATAAAGTATGGATTATGAGTATAGTAGACAGCAGATATATTTTGACTGCTTACATTTTCTCTGCCTCTTTATTATACCGACATACTTTTAGCTTGGTCATTTTATTATGTGGATCCCAAAAAAATGATGAAAAATAAGTTATCTGTATAAATTATAGATACAGGTAAATGGCAATAACTTAGAAAGTATAGTATACAAGGAGTTTTCAAAATTGGGTCAGTTCTTTTAACAGCTTGTAGAATTCGCCAAAAGAAGTTGATATACCAAAAATCACCTATATAAAAGATGCATAATAAGAGAGTTAGTTTACATTATTAAAAATTATTTAAGAAAAATAATCATCAAGTTACCAATGGATACCGTTACCTGGTGAGCGAGCAGGCCATTGCACCCTATCCATCTATTTGGAAATTCATTATTTAGATGTTCATGTACTTCTCGTCTAAAATGTGGTGGAGTCCCTTCATGTAGGAACCTCATATTCTGTCTCACATCTACAGAAACACCTTCTAATAATTATTGTGGTAGATTGTGTCGAAGAAAATCTAAATAAAGACTGGTGCAGGAAATGCGTTGTGTGTGCGGCAAGTAGTGGACCACAAAGGAAACCAAAAGCTTCGATGCGCCAATACAACGTGGGACCCTTTCCAGAAAGTGAAGCAGGAAATAAATACATCGTTGTGGTAATGGATTACTTTAGCAAGTGGGTTGAGGCTTACATTCTGCCAAATCAGGAAGCCTCTACGGTATCCGATGTTGTAATTAAGGAATGGATCTGTCGATTTGGTGTACCTTTAGAGTTGCATTCGGACCAAGGGCGCAATTTCGAGTCAAATCTCTTCCAATGTATCTGTCAATTCTTTGAGATTAAGAAGACCAGGACCACTGCCTTACACCGGCAGTGCGATGGAATGTTGGAGCGCATGAATCGGATCATTAACCGGTATCTGGTTAAGGTAGCCATCAAATAAACTGGAATGGTTTTCTACACATTTTCTTATTCGCTTACCGATCGTCGATTCATGAAAGCACAGGATAGACCCCGGCTCGAATAGTTATGCGAAGAGAACTTCGTCTCCCATGCGATCTAAAGTTTGGCTGTCCACCAGGAACTGATATTGTCGGAGAAGACTACGTAAGTGAGCTGCGTAGAAGAATGGACGCCATTCAGAGCCAGGTTCGTGTTTCAATTCAAGGTGCCAGCGACCGGATGAAGGAAGCTTATGACGTTAATGCCGAAGACCAGAGATATGACAACGGTGGTTTGGCGTTACCACCCAAAGAGGCGAAAAGGGCTGTCACCTAAACTTCAATTATCCTGGGGCGGGCTATATAAAGTTATGGAGGCCATCTACGATGTTCTGTACAGGATTCAGAAGTCACCACGCGGTAAAGCCCGAATTGTACATTTTAACTGCCTTTATGGCTCACCATGCTAATGGCCATAAGAGTCGGTATGGAGTGACATATGAAGTATAGCAAGATCTGTCTACCACTTCACCAGAGTATGCCCTGGCACACAGTGTGGCTCAAGACTTGCGAATGTCAAGAGGTATAGCAACGGTCTTTCTTAGGAAGTTTGGAAGAGTGCACGATCTGCAACAATCTAACCCGCAAGTAGGATAAGTAGTCCAGATAACAGAAGAGGGTACTAACCGAAAGATCTTCTATCTGGTTACCAAGAAAGCTTCGTATCAGAAACCGGATTACGAAGACGTTTGGAACGCTCTGTGTTCGCTTAGAGAAGTGTTGCTTGACGAGGACCTGAGAAAACTGGCAATAGCTAAGCTGGCATGTGGACTGGACAATCTGGACTGGAAAATCATCCGAAGCATGCTTGAGGTAGTCTTCCGGTGTATAGGCATTCGACTTCTGGTATGTCGTCACAGTCCTAGACGGCTACCGCCTTTAAAGAGTTTGGATTGTTACTTCTTCAGGAACTCCTATTGCAAGAGAGGGTCGTCGTGCCGATATCGACATCCACCGCCAGTAAGATCATTCCGGGATGGAATGACTTTAGGGAGGGGGCAGTGTGACGATAAATAGTACTGTTGGCGCCATTTGTTGGGCGAGTCTCCTACTCGCAAAAGCTTCATGGCCGATCCCTGCTTTTACGCGAACCACGACCGCACAAACTGCTTGGCTGCGTCTGTGAGGACCGTGGCAGTGGCTTGCCTTCTAGATCGACGCAAAGCAACCTCGACTATTCGGGAAGGCCGCTATGTGGCTCCCGATTCTTCTGGACTCAACGATGCGGACTATATAACTCGGCGGCCGGGAGATGGAAGGGAAGAACTGAATACGGTATAGTAGCAGAGCGGAGTGGACTGCAGTCAATGGCGATATAAGAATTAGTCAGACATAAATAGTGGTGTACCTAAATGTTTTAACAAGTTAAATAAATTAGTGCATTTCTTTTTGTGGAATCCGGTGTTTTAATCCACACCCAAAAGAACTCAGAAAAACGCTACAATATCTTAAAGGAACCCTTTCTACATACAAAACGCATGCTTCGGCTGCATTTTGTTGGCACTCTCCGTATGTTAGCATTATGTCCACTAGTTCATTGTTTTCGTAAGCATCGGACATTCTTTCGCACGAAGTAATCAGACAAATGAAAGTATATTTCTTATAGTACATTTTACAAATAATAATACAATTCATAGCATTACTTGATATTTAAAGAAAATGAAAATTCATAAGATTAACTTTTATGGATAATTGACCTTATATTTTACCGAAATCACCTTTACGAAAAAATAAAAACAACAATGCAGTTCTCTGAGTGCTAAAACCACAATTATAATTTCAGGTGTACCTTAACTAGATAAAATCATATTGTGTTTTATAGAGCAGGGCAGGTATCCACATTATCAAAAGTGCTGAGCAAATCGGACATCTCTAAGAATCTACACAATGCAAATGGCATACATGCTCTTTGCTTTGGTAGTGCAAATCATTTTTGAGAATGTGAATACTTGCTGTGAGCAGCTATTGACCTTAAGCAGAGCACTCACTTATTACTGGTAGATGATTGAACATTCCCCAATCAAGTTCTGTCAAGGTAATTACCATCCATCCATACTCTGTTCAATAAAGGTTAATGCCTTTATTCAGCTTAATAAGCTAAGATCTTCTTTATCATACTTTATTCAAGACTTCCTGCAATTGTACTGTCAAATCTTTTGCTGTAGGACGCTTTTCCTTTTCTTCAGTGGTACAGCAGTAATATGTCTCTAAAACTAGATCATAGTCATGATCTAGTTCTACATCTGGCAAAGCTGGCCTTAACCTGGTCTTCTGGTTCTCAGAATCCGATTCATCAAAAGATCTGCTACAATGGAAGCTTTCATCAAATTGTTTAGAATCATCATACACAGGTGGGGAAAGTGCAATTATTTCCCAAATAACAAGACCAAATGCGTAAATATCTGCCATTGTTGTAATATCTGGAGGATCAATTAGTACCTCCGGTGAACACCAACAAGGTGTCCCAGTATATTCACGATCTTTTCCAACTTTCAATTTATCAACCCTTCCTGATTTTGTCACAGGTAGGCAAACCTCAATATCACAAAGCTTGCAAATCTCAAAGTCTCCCTTAACAAGTACATTGTGTGATTTCACATCACACTGCATCAGTAGAGCACTATTGTGTAAATAGTCCAAAGCTCTAGCTAGATCATATGCTACCTGTAAGATGATTTTGGCTTCATAAGGACCTTTTTCATTTTCGAATCAATCTTCTAACATATTCCCTAGACAGGTATCACATTCCTCCATGAGTAGGGAGCTCGTTCCGCCCGTTTTTTTAAGAATCCTCTGAAGCCTATAATGTTTGGATGGCTTAGCTTACGCAAATATTCAGCCTCTGTCTGTAAACGCTTTTCTAAAGCCTTGTTCTTACGGCAGTGCTTGAAAAGCTTTTTCACGGCCCAAGGAGACAGAGTTCTGTTCAATGGAGCTTTTTGAAGTTCGTAAACTCCTACTCCTGTCCCGTAGCCAATTTTCTTCATCAAAGGAGAAGCTGGTACCTCAATTACATTGTTGAATAGTTAATTCTTGAGTGGAGTAACAGATAAGTTCATTTTCACAAAGTTTTATTGAAAAACTATACAGAACCAAATATCCGTTACGTCTTGCATTTAAATCTTCACACAAAAAAAAATATATATATATATATATATATACAGGGTGACTTCGAAGTTGAGTCATTTATTTTAACAGTGAGTAGATCTGATCAAAAGAAATGTTTTTTTCCTTTACCATTTTTCTGGTAAAATTAAAGTAACAAAGTTATAGCCCTTTGGAAGTTTGAGTACCGCCCTGTCTCAATAATAATATCATGTACTCGTGTTTGGCAACAACGGATATAATCCACCTTATCGGTTCATCGCATGGGAAACAAAAAAGCGAAAGAATTTGGAACGACGTTTTTATTTCATTCAGTTCAGTTATACATACATTCAGTGTCAGTCGCGTGTGAATAGTGTCTGTTGCGTGGCTCAAACGAAATAAAACATGGCACATGTTTATGCGGATCGGTTTCCCAATCGAGTGCAACCAACCCCTCGTGCCTTTGTTAATGCAGTACAACGGGCTCGTGAATCAGGTGACTTAAGACCTCACAGGGCACCTCACGGTCAAATACAGGTCCGCACTGAAATACTTGTTGGGAGGATACTTTATAAAACAAGGTAAAAAAATTTTTTTATTTTTTTTTTATTTTTACACACATATTTTGGTTTATCTTCCTTCTACAATCATTATCTGAAAATTAATGACTCAACTTCAAAGTCACCCTGTATATATACAGGGTCATTAATTTTCAGATAATGATTGTAGAAGGAAGATAAACCAAAATATGTGTGTAAAAATAAAAAAAGAATTAAAAAAAATTTTTATCTTGTTTTATAAAGTATCCTCCCGACAAGTATTTCAGTGCGGACCTGTATTTGATCGTGAGGTCCCCTGTGAGGTCTTAAGTCACCTGATTCACGAGCCTGTTGTACTACATTAACAAAGGCACGAGGGGTTGGTTGCACTCGATTTGGAAACCGATCCGCATAAACATGTGCCATTTTTTATTTCGTTTGAGCCACGCAACAGACACTATTCACACGCGACTGAAACTGACTGTATGTATAACTGAACTGAATTGTAATCGTAAAAACATCGTTCCAAATTCTTTCGCTTTTTTGTTTCCGATGCGATGAACCGTTGTTGCCAAACACGAACACATGATATTATTGAGACAGGGCGGTACTCAAACTTCCAAAGGGCTATAACTTTGTTACTTTAATTTTACCAGAAAAATGGTAAAGGAAAAAAACATTTCTTTTGATCAGATCTACACACTGTTAAAATAAATCACTCAACTTCGAAGTCACCCTGTATATGCACTATTAAAAGACTGATTCAACTGAAAACCATATAACACAAAAAGTTTGCCAAATTTAGATAAATGATAAGAGTAGTAACCAAAAAATGCTAAGATTTTACACAGCATATCAAAAATATGTGTGATAAAATTCTTATTTTTTAATTTTTAACCTTTTACTATTTCTTTTATTATGCAACTTTTATGTAGGTGATTTTTGTACTCCGTACTTCGAAAACAGCCTGTATAGTTAAATATTGAAATACCTTGCATGTATGAAATGTTTAAGGGCTTAGGACGAACAGATAAAGCTACTTAGAAGCGATCTATCCGATCATAAGACAAACGTCTGTGATACAAATTTCCTACAGAACTTAATCAAATATGAGTACCTATCTACTTAATGAAATTGTATTTTTGAGTTAGCCCCACGCCAGCTCATAATAATCGTAATTATGTCAATGTTTATTTTCTAAAAATAATATATACTTAACCAAGGTTATTTTGCTCACTTCTACCTCTTTACAGCAGCTGTCCATTTATTTTCTGCTCTAATATCCATGTTGCTGTAGGAAACGTATTTTTGCACGTAATACTTCTATTTTTTTACAATTTACAACGCAGCATGTATTATGACATATTTCCAGAATTTTACATGAAAAAAATTTCGTGTGGAGCTGGGTGTGGGTAGAATACGTTAATCGATGTTGAAATGTAGCAATTTGAGACATATCAATCCCGATTTAGTTTACATCCCTGCCATATCGCGCGCTGTGATAGCTTTGATGGTCTTGACCACCCACTTCGTACATAGCGAATAGAGCAACCGCCCGTGTCACGCAAAATGCTCGTCAACACGTATCGAAAATCGAAACGTGTGTATCAGCAGTAAGCAGATAGCGGCTAATGAGGAGATAGGAAATAAGAAATTGTTTCAACTATTTTATCTGTCAATATTTTTAGTTCCAGGGCTACTTTACGTATTTATTAATGAAAACGGAACTGGTAAAAGATACTTGCTGTAGTGAAGTACCATGATTTGTCATAGCTTTCACGGTTTTTCATCTTTACCACCCTCTCGAACACCACGCAAAAATCTAATGATTAGATCTGTCTTGGGACACAGTTCCTACAATTATTTTTGTCATTTGGTAGGCAATGTTGAAGTAGATTATCCTGGATGTTTTAGAATTATCCCTCAATATATTTAATTTTCTCGCAGTTGTTCCTTTGATACATTACGTTTTCTCTGGTGATAATTTAAAACCACCTTTTTAAAATAAGGAACTACATTGAGATATTTGCCGATCTTTTTTTAAGCCCAAAATTCGATATTTTTCATTCTTTTCCTCACATTCAAATCTATGGAAAAATGTTTCAGTAGAATACCATACAAACACCCCATTTCAAAAATACAGGTAGGATAGTTTCAAAACTGGGCACTTGATAAATAATGAATATACAAAGAGCATGCTCATTTGTAACAATAGGCCACTGCAAAAAAGGTAAGTAAGGTTTAAAGCGGAGAACTTACCAAATTATTAGGATGTTCTTGCCGTTTCTTACTTCATATCAAGGCAAACTTTCTAATCTTTTCCAGGTGCTAGTATACGAGATCTGTGATTAACCAATGAGAGTTCGATTTGATAATGCTGGAGGCGCCGGGCTTGGAGGGGGGACAGGAGAACATGTGACCCGCCTTCAGTACAAGTTTGAACTTGCTCGAGTAATTTGTTTGTAGCGATTTTTTTTTGTGAAACAGCTTTTTCTATTGTGCGCTATCAGGTTTTGCTTCAGATTTGCGCACAGTGCAATGAAAACTCTTGTTAAGCTTCAGCAGGCCTACGGAGATAGTGTTTTGTCAAGGGCCCCGGGTTTTTCGGTGGTTTAAGGCATTTTCAGAAGGCAGAGAGTCGAAGCGGAAGGCCTTCAACTTCAAGAACCGATGGAAATATCGACAGAGTCCGGGATCTTGTGCGTTCAGATCGTCGGTTGAAAGACAAAATGATCGGAGAAGAGTTAAATTTGACTCACACCACCGTTCAGCAGATAAAGAACAACTGGGTGTTGATTCACGATAATGATCCTTGCCACACAGCAATGTCAATAGACGAGTTCTTGGATAGTAAAAACATTCCTTTGGCTCTTCAGTCTCCTTATTCGCCTGACTTGAGTCCCTGTGACTTTTTTCTCCCCCCAAAGTTGAAAAATCACCTCCAGGGAACTCATCTTGGAACAGTCGTAAACATTCAAATGGTTGTAACCGACCAGTTGAAGGCTATTGCAGTATAGGAGTTTCAGCACTGCTCTCTTGATTCGTCATTGTCCGTCAGAGCGATCCGTGGGAACTTCGCTCTTTATTAAAGTATCGTGGGTCAGTAGGTCTATCAGGTCTGGTTGCCCAAATACGAAGTCAGTGAGAAAGAAAGGAAGAAGAAAGGAAGGAAGTGGGAAGAGCAAAGAGGGTGAAGTGCGCCGGTTAACGGGATGCCTTGAGATTGTTATTTGGTATTCGGATATTTTAAATTAATTTAGGAATTTGAGTGTGACAAAAATCGTAATTTTGGTTGGATCTAGAATTGCACGATTTGATTTTGATCACAGTGCGAGCCGCGGTCTTATGTGCTTGCGAACTTGATCGTCTGTGTAGTCTACTGACTCACGCAACACGGAGTTACTGTGCGATTCGCTTGACTATAACGTAACTGCGCCTGATGTTTGATGTAGTCCTTTAGGTAAGGGATGTCGAGGTCTCTGTGAAGGGTCTCGCTGGAGACATACCATGGTGCGTTAGTGATGGTTCGCAAGGTTCTGTTCTGCAAAACCTGCAGATTACGCATATGCGTTTTGGCAAGAAAACACCATGCTGCACATGCGTAAGTGATTGCTGGTCTGATAACCATCTTGTATAGCCGAACTTTGTTAACCAAACTTAATTTTGAGGTTCTACGTTGTAAAGGGTAGAGTTGCCGAAACATACTTTGGAATTTAGTTTTTAATGCTTCAGTGTGGTTCTGCCAGGTCATCCCCTGTCAAAAGTGACACCGATATACTAGGCAGAATTTCCCCATGGTATGCGAGCTCCATTCACTGAAACCTGCGTTTTCGAGTAATTAATTTTGATTAGCCACCGATATGCCCATTCCAATACCTCATCCACCGCACTTTGTAACCTGTCGTGAACCAGATTCCCGGTACGCGATTGGGCCACCAGTGCAGTGTCATCAGCATATAGATAGACTTCACAGTCGCTAGGGCAAGGGACATCATGCGTGAAAAGTGAGTAAAGGATTGGCCCTAGAACCGAACCGTGAGGGACGCCGGCTCTGATGAGCCGTACTGTCGAGAAGAGATTATTAATTTTGATCCGAAATTTCCTACCTTCAAGGTAGGATTTCAAACGTTTTAGGTGCCAAAATGGTAGGCCCTTTTGAATTAGTTTATAGAGAAGGCCCTTGTGCCACACCTTGTGAAATGCCTTCGAGACATCCAGAAGCAAGATGCCAGAACTTTCGTTAAGGGTGAAGCTCCTGGTCACTCGCTCCACAGGCATAACCGCCTGTAACTCCGTCCTATGCTCAGACCGAAATCCAGATTGCACGTCAGGAATCACATGGTGATTTGACGGTAAATTCA